GCAGTTGAAGAGGAAGCAACCAAAGTTCCAAATCTTTTCTATTAATTTCACTTCCTCTCCCAATACCAAAACTTCAGACCAACTCCTCCTGCGTGCACTGTCACTGCACGCGCACGCACACACACGCAGCCAGTCCAAGGCCCCTTTAACTCCCCAGCACTGAGTGATTATTCAACATCATTAACAGCAGCACAAACCCCTTTGTTTACTTGTGTCCCAGGGCCCAAAAGAGGCAGAGTTCAGGAAGTCAATCTCAGTGGTGCTTCAGAAAGCCTTAAAGCATGGGACAGAAATGATAGCATGAGGACAATCACAGAACCAAGGCTCCACCTGAGCAATCTTGGGTTTCAGCCTCCAAGGACAAAGTATTAGACACCCGTGGGACTGTAGAGAAACAGTGTTATCAACTCTAAACACAAAGTGTGTGTATAAGTTTTGTATATGCTGTACAGAACTATAACTGAACAGTATGGTAGTGTGAAATCAGCAATTCCTGACTGGATGGTCTCTGTTAGTCACTAAACTGTATCCAGTGCAAAAATTCCTAGCACATTTTTTTTGTGAAAATACAGACTGGAAAGTTTCTGGCTAATTTGCTAGTGCCGTCAGTTTGTGAAAATTAGCCCAGAAAATGCTTGTTAATAGCAGAAAACAAGGGAAGGTGTTGGTTCTTCTCACTGGTTTGAGTTAAAGTAATTTTGAATGTGATTATACTGTAGGTCTTAAAGCTAGTCACCAACTCCTGTAAAGCACAGGAAGAAAATAGGCGTGTAAATGTGATGACACCAAATGTTGATTCCTAAGGCAGGGTCAAATTCTGCCCTCCGCTATAGCAGTGTAAATCTGGAGTAACTCCATTAATGTCAGCAAATGGAGAATGGATCCAGGCTGGTTGTGCAGAAGAGCATTTAGAACTAGTTTGGGTGTTTGTCAATTGGGGGCACTGCAGGCTTTTTTGCTGAATTGAATGTTTGTTTTCTGGACTTTTAAAAATAAAAACCTTTTTAAAAGTCTTGCCCGAGGGGATTTCTCTAGAATCCTTTGAGTGTCATTCAGCTTTTCTGGGATAAAGCACACACTGTGCTTAGGTGCATTCAAGCACAGCTGCGTTTTACTGAAAAATACACACTCTGGAATGTGGTGTTGCCATTAGAAAGTGCTTATTAATGTTTTAAGAATGAATAATTCTTATGAACCACTTTCAGTGAAGAATCACGGCCATTCTGATTATTGCTAACTTTATTTACTCTTTTCTTTAAGCCTTTTCCATTTGAAGCACCTACCTCTAAACCACACCCTTTGAAAAAATGTCTGGAATCCCCATTGCAAAGGGAAGGAGAAACTCGCTGCTCATGGGGCAAAAGAAGTGCAAGCAGTGGTACTGGCAGAACTTCCACACTCAGATAAGACGCAGGAGTAACAGAAGTCCTGGATAGGGTTAGGGGTAAAGACCAACAGGTGAATCAGTTGGGTGGAGTAGGGAGAGGAAGGAAGAAGAACTGACTAGGAAAGGAGAGGAAAAATGAGAATCAACCATGACCAGCAGGTTGGGGGAAGGTCACAAAGGGAGAAGAATGTGTGGGACAGAAGCCTGCTTTCTGCTTCTCTACATCAGCCTGTGACATGACTTTTTCTTTCATGGTATGTCTACATTGCACCTGGGAATGAGCCTCCCAGCCCAGATGGACTTAGAATCATAGAATATCAAGGTTGGAAGGGACCTCAGGAGGTCATCTAGTCCAATCCCCTACTCAAAGCAGGACCAATCCCCAATTTTTGCCCCAGCTCCCTAAATGGCCCCCTCAAGGATTGAACTCTCAACCCTGGGTTTAACAGACCAATGCTCAAATCACTGAGCTAACCCTTCCCCCTGGATTTCTGTTAGCAGAGCTCACACTAGTGCACTAAAAATAGCTATGTGGTCAATGCAGCTTGGACTGGCCACCCAAACTCGGACCTGGAGTGGACTTGAGCTTGGTGTGCTGGCCTGCACCTCGGTGCCACAACAATCATCCCCCTATTTTTAGCACACTAGTATGAGCCTGGCCTGAGTTCTATTTTTGTTTTGCTTTACACCACTGACAGGGGATGCCACAAGAGGGCAGTTGACGCATCTTCTGGCACATGCATCTTGTGGATTCAGAGCTAAATACAGCTTCCTGTATCACTAGTGGTTGCCTTAGCCACATATTAACATATAATTTGTGTGTTGGCTCATAGATCACCACCAAAATTTCAGTGAGATTCCATCACCCTTAAAATTGCATGGGGGACTATGACAGATGAAAACAGCCTGCTGCATACAAGGCTGGCAGTGGTTCCAGCAGGTGCCAACAAGCAGTGCACACTTCCCACAAGGTCTGCCTGCCTCCAGAAGAAACCACCCAAAGCTGCAGTTTCTGCTGACTGACTTTGTGACACCCTGTTGTCGTGGCTGTTCACGCACTCATGCCCAATGCTGCCAGCCCAGTGCCAGCCTCAGATGAACAATGGCATATCGGGGCCAACAGCTATGTCCTCACAGAGCGGCAACAACCCTAGGACAGAGAGACAGGCGTGCTGATGAACTTCTGGAGCCTTAACTTACAACCACCTGATTGCAACCTGGGATGCAGATCCTGGATGAGGCTTAACAGGCTGCTGACTGGAACAGCCAGAGTGGGCACCATAATGCAGAAATTTGGCTTAGTGCAGTCCTCGTAGTGTGACTGTGGGGCAGCAATGCAGATGGTGGAGGAGCGCACAATTAGACTGGAGAGTGGACGGCAATAGCTAGCTACCCTCAGTGATGCAGCATTTAGGTGGCTGAATAATTTAGACAGCCACCTGTGATGCACCTAAAAGAAGAAGCATGAGCCCCTCCCAGACAGGGAGAGTCACTTCCACCTGCAGTGTAGACGTACCCTTTGGAGCTTCAGCTCAGCTGAACTGGTACATAGTGTCAAGTACTTTAAGAATCTGCACCAGAAACAACAGAACCCCATAGAAATTCCTCCTTTCAGATGATTTCCTATCTCCTTTCCCATTTCCCTGAGACACACCACTTTAGCTGATATTACAGCACAAAATCACAATGGCCAGAAAGGGCTGTGAACTCCCGCTCCTGTCTTACCCTGCTATAACAACTGCTGTTGACCTGGATTGGATTCAGATCAGTGTCATGGAGGTGAAAGTTTCAGGGTAGGGCTCTGTACAGGATCCAAGAATGGGGAAGCCAAAACCAAACTCACAACAATGACAACAGCCCCTCTTAAGAGTCTCCAAACTGATCATGGCCAGCAGAGTTCCTAATTCTCTTATTCTAGCAGGCTGGCTTTCTCCCTCTCCATGAGGTGTCAGGTCAGGGGAGAAGCCACTTAACACAATTCATAAAGCCCTTACTTCTGAGCCTTGAATCAGAGCAACCAAACTTCCAGACAGAAAAACAAAGTCTCTAGAGCCGTGCCAGATTCGTGACCCTTAGCAGCCATCACCACTTTTGATTCCCTCGCCTTTTCCTGTTGTATATAGCCCTGCCCCCAGCCTGGGGCATGTCTTGGATTGCACCCAGGCTCTCTTGGTTGTTAGCTCCAGTGGTTAGTTCCATAAAGGAGACACCCTGCCACAGGCTTCCTGGTCTCGGAGCCATTCACCTTGGCATAAACACGCAACATTTAGGACTGTGATTTTCAAAGGAGGCCAGGGAAGTGAGGCACCCAGCTCCCACTGACAATCAATGAGAGTTGAGTGCCTAACCCTGTCATGCCCTTTGAAAACCTCAGCCCAGTGGTTGTTCCTGAAAGGTGCTGAGCACCCTTTTACCCACCCCCCCACCTTGGCTTCAATAGGAGTTGAGGGTGCTCAGCTCCCTGGAGAAGGCACACAGCACTGTACAGGATTGGGTTCTTTTACTGTGGGTGAAACCAGGCTTTGTTCAGAGGGCTAGCACAAGATCTTTGCTACACACAGCTTCCAGTTAAGCCATGAAAATAGGGCTTAAGTGGGACTGACACACTTCATGGGCCTTGTTCTGTCCCTCCAAATAAGGGTGAACGTCATCCCATAGAAACATTTATGCTCAGTTAAGAACGCAATTCCTGATACTGGAGCAAATTAGACTGAAAAGTAAAGGGTGCAGGGACCCATGAGCACTCTTTGGTTTGTATTTTTGCCTTTTAGCTGACAGAAGCTCAGAACAAACTCTTGTCTTATGAGTTCATTTCTACAACAAGAAGATAGCAAGATTTCAGTTAGATGTATCTAGGGAGACCAGACAGCAAGTGTGAAAAATCAGGACGGGGTGGGGAGTAACAGGAGCCTATATAAGAAAAACCCCAAATATCTGGACATCTGGTCACCCTCGATGTATCAGTAGCATGTAACCAGTATTAGGAAATTGGCCTGTGCTGCTAAGTGTGAGTATATTTGACTGGTGCCTATAAAAGGTATTTAGCAGTTAATTGAGCCCGTATTATTACGGGTTTCTGAGTAACAGCCGTGTTAGTCTGTATTCGCAAAAAGAAAAGGAGTACTTGTGGCACCTTAGAGACTAACCAATTTATTTGAGCATGAGCTTTCGTGAGCTACAGTATGGGGGTGGGGGGGATGTGAGAAAACCTGGATTTATGCAGGAAATAGCCCGACTTGATTATGTAAAGAGTTGTCACTTTGGATGGGCTAGCACCAGCAGGAGAGTGAATTTGTGTGGGGGGGTGGAGGGTGAGAAAACCTGGATTTGTGCTGGAAATGGCCCACCTGATGTCCCGAACTCTTCAGCCTTGGCTGTCTCTCACAATGCTTTGCTAGTGACACAGAGAAAGGCACCAGCCAGTTCCCCCCAGAGCTGTACCATCTTGCCCTGCTCAGAAGCCTGAGCAGTGTAAAGTTATTACCCAGTCCGCCCCTCCCTCAATGTGGAGAGGACATACACTAGCCTTTGGAAAGTGAGCTGAGATTTCCCAAGCACTTCAAGCAAAATACACTTTTTTAGTTAAGGTATAAAACAGATTTATTAACTACAGAAAGATACATTTTAAGTGATTATAAGTGGAAGGCCTAAAAGGGTCAGCAATGGTTACCAAAGAAAATAAAAGATAAGCACACAATCTACATCTTAAACCTTATTAAATGAGTCAGTATTTAGATCAAACAATTTTCTCAACCCACTGGATATTACAGTTCATAGTACACAGGTTTCTCCCTTAAACCTGGACCAGTCTCCTCAGTTGAAGTCTTCTGTCTTTCTGTGTTCTTGTTGCTTCCAGGGTAGGTGGGGGAGGAGAAAGGCAAAAGCATGATCCCACTGTCTCCTATTTTATATCCTCAGTCCATGTGGCTGGAAGACACTAGCCCAGGCATCCCTGGTGGGTTTTGCTGAGTCACAGGGTTGAGCAACGCCTCTGGTGGTCTTGTGCAACTGAGCCATAGAATTGAGCAATCTCCATTGTGTGGTGCTTGCAGGACTGTCACTGAATTGTAAATCCCTTGATCACAACTCCCCTGCTGATTAATGGTTATTTAACACCCTCCTGGGAGAGATTAGCAGTAGTGACTCAAAGTTACAATGTATTTCAGTAACAACTATACAGCAAAATCTCAAAACTTCATAAACACTAATGATATACATATTTGAACAAAACAATGGGTTTCAGCAGATCATGACCTTTCATAAAATATCTTTCATGGCATGCTTTGTATGAAATATCACAACCATATTTGAATGATGAATATGGGAGTTACAGGGTGCAATTTTGAGGTACAGTGTGTCACACCTCTTTTTTTTACTTAACAATTGAAAAAGAGACACTGAGCCAAACACACATATCTTTGCTTGCATTAGGACTTCCGAGTGTCATGGTAAAATAGCTCCCAACCCAATCTAGTGGAAGAAATGTTTTTATTTTCTTCACCCTCTTTAAATGTTTGTGAACGTTTAACACTGAAAGGTACTTCCTCTGTTCACAAAGATGTAAGCATTGAAAAGCTTCCTATCCTCTTCACATGCTGCATCCACACCTGGAGAGGAGATTTAGAACCTCTAACACACCCAGCAACTTTCCTGGTCTTCTTTGCTCATACAGATAAACAGCCAGCTAACAACAACAAAAAGAGAGAAATGTATGAGCGCTGATAATTGGCATGTGGGAGGCAGGTGTCACCTTTCTATGTCATGCAAGTTTTCTCTAATTGTTTTACAAGGGCAGATGAGAGATTGGTTTCAAGGATAAGAATGAGCTCCCCATTGCAGCTGAGCTGTTTAGTGGCTAGTGATTCATTTGATGTTTGGTAATTCAGCTTCCACAGAACTGGCACAAGGGCGCTGTGCCAGCTCCCAACATGGGGAGGGAGGAGGCATTCCAGGAGATGGGGAGGGAGTGGCAGCCCCAACACAACTTAGTGCAGCCCTCTGGCTGTTCTAACTTACACTTAGAGTGAGGTAGGTACCTATAGGGCCCCACAGTAGGAGGAACCCAAAGATGGCATAAAGGCACCTTTTCCCCAGCTCACTCTATTCCCACACTAGGCATAGAAATGGAGCAACTGCGAATCAGGGGCCCATTTGCTCCAAGGTAATTGAATATTCCTGCAGGTTACAGAGTAACTACCCTTGGTAGATGTAACTGGCTTCTAACTTGGGTTTTTAAAAGAAGTAACCTGACTGTAGCGACCTTTTCATGTTAGTTATTACATAGTTAATAATATGTATTAAGCCATGGTGTGATGCTTAAGTGTTACTCATCCCAAGAATTCAAGCATAAGACTATGCCAGCAAATAACCTTCAGGAGCATAACTATTTAGAATGATGCACTAAGGGCTCAGCAGCATGACCCTCCTTAAATAGAGCAGAGCCACCTGCATCTATTGACATTACTGACTATACATGTGGCTAACAGCATATGCACCTTACTCTTCATCACTCTAGAGCCAGCCAAATACAATGATGGCATGGTTTCATTAGGGTTTGTTTTTCTATTCCCAGGTCTGCTTGTAAAGCAACTAAGTTCTTAGAAGGATGCAATGCTTCCTATCACTGAAACACAGAGAGATTATTCAGATTACTGGACATTGATGAGCACTTCCATGGTGGAGGGATCTGCACCTACACCCTTCTGGCTTTGGCTTATTCTCATCTGCTCCATCTTGGATGCTGTTGCAAGTGGAATTGCCCTCTGGTTTTTCTGCCTTCACGCTCAACTGGACCCCCTGAGCATTCACATACTGAACCTGGCTGTTGCACATCTCCTGCGTTCTGTTGGTGATGCACTCCTGACTCTTATGTCAAACATGCCTTCTAATGAATTGGGTGGCAGTCAGTAAGTGTGACCTACAGCTTGGGAAACAATGCCAGCCTCTTTTTCATGCCAGCTATTAATCGGGAGAGGGCCACGTCACTGCTTTTCCAAGCACAGTTTAGGCACCTCCACCCAAAACAGTCCATCTTTTGTGCTTTGATGTGGGTCCTGTCCTCTTTGCTGACAGGAACAGAACATGCATTCTGCGTGAAGGTGACGCTGAGGAAGTGGGGGTGGGGGCACAGGAGTTTACAGAGGGCTGAGACACAATGTCAAAGAGTGGTCATCTTTATGAACATCCTATATCTGGTGGATTTTGTTACATTTATGGCCATGTAATTTGATGCTGTGTAGGCAGATCCAGCAAAGCACATGTATACCTCACTCAAAGCTCTATGTAGCCCTTACAGCTACAGCTGCAATGGTATCTGCTTTAGGCATTTCCCTCTGGGTGCTGGATTATGAGTTTGAACTCTTAGAATTTCCATATTTATCTTTTATGAGAGCAGCCACAGATAGCAGATGTTCAAGCAGCATCTCCCTGCTCTCATGTCACAAGTCAGAAGCAAAACAGCAAGGGGGAGATGGGAGTATCTCCAGTTTTATAACCGCCAGAGTTGAGCACAAACAGTGAATAGCCAGAGTCTGCTGGAAGATAACAAAAGGTCCAGATCTGACTATCACCCAGAGAGTTTGCTTATGAGATCTGTGCTGCTTATTGACAGGAAGAGGTCCAGTTAAGCTGTTCATTTACTTAGAATGATGCATAGTGGCATAGAAAAAACCCAAACTGGAATTTTTGCCCATGTGGTCTCTTGTGTGTAGAAGTAGCTAGTTCAAGCCTGTCAAGGTTCCTCCCCCACTCTGAACTCTAGGGTACAGATGTGGGGACCTGCATGAAAAACCTCCTAAGCTTATCTTTACCAGCTTAGGTCAAAACTTCCCCAAGGTACAAAATATTACACCCGTTATCCTTGGAATGGCCGCTACCACCACCAAACTAATACTGGTTACTGGGGAAGAGCTGTTTGGACGCGTCTTTCCCCCCAAAATACTTCCCAAAACCTTGCACCCCACTTCCTGGACAAGGTTTGGTAAAAAGCCTCACCAATTTGCCTAGGTGACTACAGACCCAGACCCTTGGATCTTAAGAACAATGAACAATCCTCCCAACACTTGCACCCCCCTTTCCTGGGAAATGTTGGATAAAAAGCCTCACCAATTTGCATAGGTGACCACAGACCCAAACCCTTGGATCTGAGAACAATGAAAAAGCATTCAGTTTTTACAAGAAGACTTTTAATAAAAAAATAGAAGTAAATAGAAATAAAGAAATCCCCCCTGTAAAATCAGGATGGTAGATATCTTACAGGGTAATTAGATTCAAAAACATAGAGAACCCCTCTAGGCAAAACCTTAAGTTACAAAAAAGATGCACAGACAGAAATAGTTATTCTATTCAGCACAATGCTTTTCTCAGCCATTTAAAGGGATCATAATCTAACACATACCTAGCTAGATTACTTACTAAAAGTTCTAAGACTCCATTCCTGTTCTGTCTCTGGCAAGAGCAGCACACAGACAGACACAAAACCTTTGTTTGTCTCCCTCCTCCCAGCTTTTGAAAGTATCTTGTCTCCTCATTGGTCATTTTGGTCAGGTGCCAGCGAGGTTACCTTTAGCTTCTTAACCCTTTACAGGTGAGAGGAGCTTTCCCCTGGCCAGGAGGGATTTCAAAGGGGTTTACCCTTCCCTTTATATTTATGACAAAGCCAATCTGGCCCCAGATTGAACATTTATAAGAAAACAAGTTCTCAAGCCAATAAAGAGTCATCTGACATAACTGACAGAAGGAGAAACATGATTAATGAAGCTGTAAGTATAAAAGCTCTAAAACTGAGGAAAGGTTTACAAAAGTAGCAGCAGCTTAATTACTTCACTGCTGCCTAAAGTACCACTCATATGTGGCTAAAAACATCCTCAATGCACCTCTGTGTTCTTGGTACAGCCTGACAACTAATTGTGAACTTTCTTGGGTGGACTGTCTTAGTGTTTTGTACAGCACCAAGCACAATGGGCTCCACTGTGACAAAAATAATAAATAGTGATTTACCAGCAGTGGCACATAAAGGACCACCACAGTCAACCTCAGCAGCTAAGATGTCACAAAAAGCAAATTAATGTTCTGATGAGTGCACTAACCTAAGAAATAAGAAAAGACTGCCAGCAGTATATTGTACAGAGCTTAAAAACCACATCTGAAAATACAGTACGTCTTTTCACAACACCAATAGTAAAAGGGTTGAAAACCCATGCAATTTGGCTTGCAAGCAAACAGCACTGGATATGTATGCCCCTGACACGTGAACATTGTTATGCATCTGTTTTTAAACTCTGTTCTAATATAAACTGCTCTTATTATGGAACCAGTTCTTCTCAATGGCTTCCTTGGACCACTTAAGTGTTAGTCACAGCATACTTTATAGGGCCTGTATTTACAGCATAACTGCTGAGCAGCCCTGGAACTGATGAAGGCAATCATGGTTTGACTATACAGATTTATAGGTTTGTTCTGGATATGAAGGAGGTTCTAGGAACGAGAAGGTCTGCACTAAATAGAAGGGGGTAGTGTACTTTTCTGTTATTACTTCAGCACACAGACATGACGGACAGCGTAATCCTCCACAAATACCCCACCCGTATATCTTCAGTCACTGGCTGGTGTGTTTTTATGTAGTTGAAGGATTTGAATATTTTCATCCATAAGTTAATAAACCATTCAACCAGTGTCTTCCAAAGACCCCCATAAGCTAACATACTTTCCACTTTTATCTTTGCCTTTAGAGTTTGTTCTTACACTCGAATTGGAAGGTCTGAGCCTGGCTTGGTGCTTGGCTTGTTGAAGAATTCTCCCCTCCAGGCCAGCTGCAGAACTTCTCCCAAGAGCCTACTGCAGCAGACCACATAGTGCTCTTCTGACCCTGCAGAGGGGAGGCATGGATGGAAGGATCTAGGCAATGGATACCCAACCCCCAGTGCTCCTGTATCCCACCCTCCTTACGGTGGAGGGAGCTGAGTCCCTCCCCTATTCAGCTTCAACTTTCCACAGAAGAAACAAACTCTTCCTAGTATCTGAAGACCTTCCACACCTTAGAATTCCCAATCAATTTTAGATTGGGTTTTGTGCCAAGGGACGAGGAAATCCTGAAACTGATCCCTCTGAGATTAACAGTGTCCCTAGTCCCTGAGAAATGCTCATTATGACACACAGGCACCAAGGCCAGAAGTAAAAGCTGTTTTCCTTCGAAAGACTTACACGATTGTTGGGCTTACCAAATTTCAGAGTAGAGGACAGCAGTCCTTGGCCTGAAGCCCACTCACTCATCCATATCAGAAAAACTGATCAACATAGCACATGTTACTGTCAGGCACTCTCCTGCAACGTGTGCTTAAAAATACACACAGAGAAGTCACCTGACTTATTTTGTTGCCTTTGAAAACCTTTCAGGAGCCTGCAGAATTATTTCTCCATCAGTTTTGTCCTTTTCCATCTGGCAAACAGCAATAACCCCCCTTTCCCTCAGTTGAAATGGAATTAAAGTTAAAGTAGCTCTTCTATTTAACAATTTCCAAAAAACACAACATGAACCTGTGTACACCAGCCTTTTTAACAGCAACACAACACTTGGAATAGAACTGGTTTATTAATGTTGTTGAAGAATAAACAGGGAACAAGATAAAAGTCCCATCAAAACAGTGGATTCTCTGTTCCACTTGCACCTGAAGAAGAGGTAGTACTTCTTTAATAAATATATTTAAAAAAAAAAAAAAAGGAGGATTTTCCCCTTCAGATTTGATTCCTAAAACCTAACGGTCTCCTTAAACACAGATTTTTTTTGTGATTGAAGGCAAACAAAAAACCATTGTTAAATGCCTTTTACTGACCATCACTATATTAGCAATGTAAGGAAAAAAACACAACAGACATCCTGGTGTAGAGCACAAAGATAGGAAAGATGTCCTTGAGATTTTTCCAGAAGATAATCTTTTACATGGCATACCATTGAGGTCCTCCAAACACAAAGGCCAAAAGAGACCATGATGCCACAATCCCACAAATTCTGCAAGAAGAAGAAAGTTAAAATGTCATTAGGCTATTTCATAATCACACAACTAATCCCAAATGTAAAGTGAGACTACTCCCTGAGCTGGGTCAGAGCTAATATTCTCCCTCCATCTGCACCACTATATCACTGGATTAACAAAGCATAGAAATTTTAATCTGTAATTGTCCCTGATATTCCAGAATTGAACTTTCAACACAGCTTTACCCTTCCCCACACTTGGTATTCCAGTACTGGGCTTCAGAAATCAGCATCTGTCAATTATGGTTTGGTGATGGCCACAAGGAAACATTTCCTTGGTGATCCAAGTCAAGATTGGAATCCAGAGACGGAAGATCATTTACACAGTGACCATTCTAAACCACCGCATAAAGCCTGCTTCTGAATGACATGTTTTCATGATGGATCTACAGTGTAACATTACTTAAAAGTAATTAACTGTTTCTCATACAAAGATGCAGGGCAAGCTAGTTCAGGGGGGAATATTATTCTTGACTCACAGCAGAAAGCACATGAGAGCATCGTCACTTACTGTAGCAAGCAGTTCACTTGTGGTGAGTGTCTCCAGTGGTGATAGAGTGAAATCCGCAGATTGGGGTGAGCTTTATAATCTCGCAGAACAACCCTGACACTACGAAATAAATCATAATTACATTAGATACATCTTGCATGCGGCTCTTATTGCATTCTGAGGCTTGGGACATGAATCCCCTTAACTAAAAGTCAGCAGGACTGGAGTAAGAGGGCAAATAGGGGCAGCAGGGGGAGAGGATGAGAGGGTAAAGAATTAGAATTTTGATCACTTACTCCTTAAACTTATTGGAGAGCAACAGAAATTGGTTCTCGGTCAGTCGTCTGACATCAAACTTGCACAGAGCTTTTAATATTTGATAGATCTGTTCTTCATCCACCCCAGGCCACCCCCGAACACTGGCAATCAGAAGAGGTGGACGTTGGCTAGGGACATCTGTGCCAGAGAAATTCTGGAAGACGATGAAGTGAAATTAAGCCAGAGACTCTCAAATTTAATCCACATCTGACTGTGGAAATACTAAAAGTGTTATTTAAGATAATTAAACACAACAGGCAAAAAGTGACATAGTGACTAAGCAATACCCACCTGTACAATACAAAGGAGTATTTTTTCATCTTCGGGCTCTTGTGGGCATGAACCATGAGAGCAAAACTTAAGTCACCAGAATGCATGTGAAAACAAAAATTCAAGGCAACAACCTATCCTCTAACAAACTGTAGGAATCAGAAGCCTGGAAGTAGGGATACCTTAATACAAATAAGTATCTTTGAATGCTTCCTGTATTTCCATCTCATTATAGGTGCTGAAATGGGGGAAAAGGCATCTTGGCTGCAGTTAAAAAGACTATGGGCTTGTCTTCATTATGGCACTAAATTAGTGATATGCAGTCGATGCCATGGCGTCAATTTAGCAGGTCTGGTGAAGATGCAGTAAGTCGATAGGAGAGCGGTCTCCCGTCAACATAATTAATCCACCTCAACGAGAGGCAGAAGCGATGTCAACATTTCCCGCTGACATAGCACGGTGTAGATACCACGTTAAGTCGATGTAAATTACATCACTCGGGGGGTGGGGGGCAGTTTGTTTTTTTTTTTACACCCAGAGCAATGTAACTTACTTTGACTCACGCAGTGGTGTAGACAAGGCCCCAGGTCATTTGTAACTGGTGACAAAATGAATATAAATAACAGGGTAAAAATTCAGCACAACTGTTTTTTTTAAAATGCTATTTGGACTGACACTGAGAAGTCACCCGCAGATGAAGATCCAGACACCAGCTGGCATTTTCTTTCACTCATGTGAGTGAGCAGATAGCCTACTAGCTTATCCACCTGGGGATTCAGATACAATGAGGATAAACATGATGCACTTTAAACTCACGATTTTTGAAACGCCAGCTCGGATCAGATTCACTTGGTTCAGGTACTTGGTTAATGCATTGAGATATTGAGAGAAAGAGGGACCATTCTCCAGCGTGTCACTATGTAGGAAAACAAAATAAAAAAAATAATTCAGTGATCTACACTAGAGGGAAACGGCACAGTACTACAGCTTTAAGGAACTCCTAGCTACAGCAGACCTTTAAGGGAACAGGTGCAGGGGAAGTATGAAGGATTTATTTATTTAAAATATGAATATAGTGCTGGTAAAAGGAAACAGATTAACAGTCTTGCAGTAAGAAGAAAAGGAGTACTTGTGGCACCTTAGAGACTAACCAATTTATTTGAGCATGAGCTTTCGTGAGCTACAGCTCACTTCATCAGATGTTTACCGTGGAAACTGCAGCAGACTTTATATACACACAGAGAATATGAAACAATACCTCCTCCCACCCCACTATTGTTTCATATTCTCTGTGTGTATATAAAGTCTGCTGCAGTTTCCACGGTAAACATCTGATGAAGTGAGCTGTAGCTCACGAAAGCTCATGCTCAAATAAATTGGTTAGTCTCTAAGGTGCCACAAGTACTCCTTTTCTTTTTGCGAATACAGACTAACACGGCTGTTCCTCTGAAACCAGTCTTGCAGTACGAACTCCTCTGTGTACAGAACAGATACAGCACATACATGGCAGATCAAGCTTCCCCAGAACCCCCCTGCCAGTGTACCTCAATCATAACAGAGGGAAAGACCACATCTACTGGTGCAAGGATAGTGCTGTTTCAACACCCATTTAACACCCTTGTTATTCTCAACAGAAGCCAACAAGTGTACCAAACAGTGGGAAGGGGACAAACATTCACTAGGAACTTGACTGAAGCCATCAGTTCATTTCCCCATAGCTGTCAGATGGTAAGACCATTTGGTCACAACCAGACTGAGCTGGATTTGAAACAATGACCAAAAGAAGGAATGATGCACAATTTCATTACCAGCCTCCCAGGCCATCAAACCCCTCAAGATTATTTTTTTAAACAAGGTTTCAGCCTTGGGACAAAAACTCTAACTTGCAGCTTTATAAAACAACAAGTTAATTACTTGGAGTAGTCGCATTTTGAATAATGTTTTATTCAAAAACCGGACAAAGTTGTTGAACAGAAAATCACAAGCTGACAGCTATTTTCTAAAAGAGCTATGATTGCAAGGTAATTCCCAAGGCAAAGAAGTTCATAAACACCACTCACCATGGCATCCTGCCTAGGAGCAAGTGGGCTAATTTCAAAAGAACTAAAAGGAGGAACAATGAAGAGGTGACATTACAAGAGTGCAGAAGCAAAAGCTAAGCAAATGTTCAATTTTAAAGAACTATATATATGAATAATTTGGCAGTTTATCGTTAAGTAACGAGTACCTGTATTACCTACTATTGAATGAAAATGGTTACAGTGGAAGAAAAGCAATTCTTGAATTCTAACAGTTAAACCTTTAAGAAATGTCAGGTTTTACCTGATCCACAAAGAAATGCATCATAGGCCGCCTCATGGGGAGATTTCTTGTCAGCTAAGAGTCCAAAAAATGGAAAATAAATTAAAGCATCTCTAGAACACTGTGCAAACTACTTTGGGTCAAAATAATCCTTCTCTCACTAGGCATCAGATTACCCACAGTTTTCCTCTCTCATCTTTACACTTCTTACTATTTCTAACCCTCCCCCCTCACAGAATCCCTATACCCCTGCAGTCTCTGCTGCTCCTCAGCTTTCAAAATGACACTACCAAGGAGGCAACAGTTAGACCAGTGGCTGAAGAAAAGATGGCATCACATTTAAAGGTTTATTAGAGCAAACTTGCATTTATAAAAGGTCGGGATTGGAGTTAAAGGTGTGAATGGACAGGTTCCCCAGCACATGTTCATTTTGCCACACAGCTTCATTTCTGCCTTGCATTTGGATTCCCATGGAATAAAACAAAGAGTCTTTATAGAGAAATGAAAATTTGCTTCATTGCACAGAACATACCATATTTTGAACAGTCACTTGCATGGGCAATCACCGGACACGTGGGGTTGGTGGGATTTAGGTCACTGTTGAAGAAAATTTGAAGTGTAAATTTTCATTCTTCCCCTATGCCTAAGGGTGGGAGAAATTTTTCAGCAAACACTCTTGCCCCGTCGGAGTAATTCCTATGGCTTTCCATTTTTAACACAACTGCTAAAGAGATTTCTTAAAAGAAGTTTCTCTACCATTAAGGAATAAAATCATATCATTACAAAAGCAGTGCAAGCAACAATTTAACTGTTTAATTTTCACCAACAACAAAGGAAGTCATATGGCTCAAATCTCTGCAGGCTACTTTGAAAATTTATCCCAGAAGTTTCAAATCTTAGCTCTTGACTGATATTTGGGAGAAAAGAAACACGGGGGGGGGGGGGGGGGGAGAGCATATGACATAGTCCAGAAGTACCAATTTGTGTCAGAGGGATCTGCATAAATCCACACACAGAGATTAGGAGCCAGGCAAGTTTGTGGCATGAAAACAAAGTATATGGAGTTCACAAATGTAGGAGCCTTCTACCCTGCACAATACACCCGAAGTAGATTTGTGCTTGTGGCTGCCTCTTCTAGACTCAAGTATCCTAAAGGCTTTCTGCACATCTCCCCACTTTACCAATTTACAGATTCTTGTCCCTGACCAAAGATTACAATAAAAATCAGAAGGGATTATAATCTCTTAACTAAAACTAGTTGAAGAAAACTAGAAGAAAGCTGCTTCAGACCTTGAAGGTTGGTTCTTTTCCCTGCCCATTTGGCTGTGTGTATGCCCTCACTCCACACACTGGTCCAACAGACAAGACTTCCACTGAGATCTAAAAGCAGGCTAGTTCAAAGTTCCCTCCCTCACTCCATGCTCCCAATACTGTAACTCGTATTTGGTAAAGACAGTTATATGCAGGGGAGACATCAGAAGGCAGCATAGGGAATCTTATTCCAGTTGTGAAAAAGATCCTTTAACATCTGACTGTGCAAGGAGAACATGAGTTTGGGCAGCAGGATTCTCCTAATCTGTTTTGAACTATAAAAAAAAATAGTAGTCCCTACCTAAAGCCAATCACACTGCCTTTAATGGCTTCCCTTACATCAGTGACTGCAGAGACAAATAGGGACCCATGCAGCTGCATACCCGTGAATGCTCTCCTTACTGGAAACTAATCCCCACATGCTGCACTCTGTGTGTATCTGCTGATATTGTATACACTACACAGAATGTGTTCAAGTGCAGCAGAGTGTTTTACTTGCATAAAAAAGTGTGAATAAGGATGAGTAAAGACAGACTAGTCCAAGGAGATGTGCTGACTGACTGGCTCTGGAGGGAAGGCTGTTTTGATGCAGGGCTTTTGGAGAAGGCAATAAAGAGGGTAAAAATTAGGATTCTTGAAGTCACCCAGAACAAGAGTTCCCAACTTCCCAACAATTCTGGGTATCCACAGTTTGAAAAAGACTACGAAAAAGCAGAACGTCTTAGGAAGAGAAGTTAGTGAGGTTAGTATAATAAAAGGTGCCTGCCTGAGAGCACTCATATCCTCCATTTATCCACATAGCAGATCCAGTACAAACAGTAGCAACACAAGGCTCTCACCATATCTCCTGGCATGGTGTTTTGCCTGTGGAAGGAACACATCTATAGAAAAGGAGAATTATAGTGTCCAGTCCTTACACTCTACCCATTCTTCTAACAAGAGTGCCATTTGTAATGTGGACACATGTCTGCTAAGAGCCAAACTGAGGGCTTGTCTCCACTTACTGGTGGATCGATGCTGCAGCGATCAATCCACCAGGGGTCGATTTAACATGTCTAGTGAAGACCCGCTAAATCGACTGCAGATCGCTCTCCTGTCGATTCCGGTACTCCATTGGAACGAGAAGAGTAAGGGGAGTCGATGGGAGAGCATCTCCAGTCAACATAACATGGTGTGGACCCCACGGTAAGTAATCTAAGCTACATCAACTTCAGTTACACTACAAAACGTAACTCAAATTGCATAGCTTAGGTCAGCTTTCCCCTGTAGTGTAGACCTGTCCTGAGATTACAAATTTATTCCACTTAAGACCCTGTGCAGCAGTGAGATAGTATTAAGTTACTGCCAATCCCAGCCCTAACCCAAATTCAAGATCAGGGAAATAATGGTAGAAAGCTTCAGAGCCCATTATCAATCCTCTAAACAATCCTATCCTCTAGAAGTCAGCATACGACCTAGTTTGCCATATATGTTTCTACATCAGAATCTACATCAGAAGTTTCCATCCTAATTTAATACTGGCTGAATAATTCAAACGGAGGCATTTTAAACAATTTACTGACTATTAACTTGATAGGTTTATAGGTAGTACTTCCTCTGATATTAAAGCCAGGTTAGAAAGGAGGGAAATTGGTTGAACAATCTCAACCCACAGTGCAGCAGAAAAAAAAAAAAGTATAAAAATATTGCACGACTGACTTTTGAAATACCCTTTCCAAGATGAAAAGGAGTGCTTCTGGCACTTTAGAGACTAACAAATTTATTTGAGCATAAGCTTTCGTGAGCTACAGCTCACTTCATCGGATGCATTCAGTGGAAAATACAGGTGGGAGATTTATATACATAGAGAACATGAAACAATGGGTGTTATCATACACACTGTAACGAGAGTGATCACTTAAGGTGAGCTATTACCAGCAGGAGAACGGTGGGGAGGGGGGGAAAGGGGAACCTTTTCTAGTGATAATCAAGGTGGGCCATTTCCAGCAGTTGACAAGAACGTCTGAGGAACAGTGAGGGGTGAGGGGCGGAATAAACAAGGGGAAATAGTTTTACTTTGTGTAATGACCCATCTACTCCCAGTCTCTAGTCAAGCCTCAGTTAATTCTATCCAGTTTGCAAATTAATTCCAATTCAGCAGTCTCTCGTTGGAGTCTGTTTTTGAAGTTTTTTTGTTGAAGAATTGCAACTTTTAGGTCTGTAATCGAGTGACCAAAGAGATTGAAGTATTCTCAGACTGGTTTTTGAATGTTATAATTCTTGACGTCTGATTTGTGTCCATTTATTCTTTTACGGAGAGACTGTCCAGTTTGACCAATGTACATGGCAGAGGGGCATTGCTGGCACATGATGGCATATATCACATTGGTGGATGTGCAGGTGAACGAGCCTCTGATAGTGTGGCTGATGTGATTAGGCCCTATGATGGTGTCCCCTGAATAGATATGTGGACACAGTTGGCAACGGGCTTTGTTGCAAGGATAGGTTCCTGGGTTAGTGGTTCTGTTGTGTGGTATGTGGTTGCTGGTGAGTATTTGCTTCAGGTTGGGGGGCTGTCTGTAAGCAAGGACTGGCCTGTCTCCCAAGATCTGTGAGAGTTTTGGGTCGTCCTTCAGGATAGGTTGGAGATCCTTGATGATGCATTGGAGAGGTTGGGGGCTGAAGGTGATGGCTAGTGGCGTTGTGTTATTTTCTTTGTTGGGCCTGCCCTGTAGTAGGTGACTTCTGGGTACTCATCTGGCTCTGTCAATCTGTTTCTTCACTTCAGCAGGTGGGTACTGTAGTTGTAAGAATGCTTGATAGAGATCTTGTAAGGTGTTTCTCTCTGTCTGAGGGGTTGGAGCAAATGTGGTTGTATCGTAGAGCTTGGCTGTAGACAATGGATTGTGTGGTGTGGTCTGGATGAAAGCTGGAGGCATGTAGGTAGGGATAGCAGTTAGTAGGTTTCCAGAATAGGGTGCCGTTTATGTGACCATTGCTTATTAGCACCGTAATGTCCAGAAAGTGGATCTCTTGTATGGACTGGTCCAGGCTGAGGTTGATGGTGGGATGGAAATTGTTGAAATCATGGTGGAATTCCTCAAGGGCTTCTTTTCCATGGGTCCAGATGATGAAGATGTAATCAATGTAGCGTAAGTAGAGTAGGGGCATTAGGGGACAAGAGCTGAGGAAGCGTTGTTCTAAGTCAGCCATAAAAATGTTGGCATACTGTGGGGCATTGTGGGTACCCATAGCAGTGCCGCTGATTTGAAGGTATACATTGTCCCCAAATGTAAAATAGTTATGGGTGAGGACAAAGTCACAAAGTTCAGCCACCAGGTTTGCCATGACATTATCGGGGATACTGTTCCTGACGGCTTGTAGTCCATCTTTGTGTGGAATGTTGGTGTAGAGGGCTTCTACATCCATAGTGATCAGGATGGTGTTTTCAGGAAGATCACCGATGGATTGTAGTTTCCTCAGGAAGTCAGTGGTGTCTCGAAGACAGCTGGGAGTGCTGGTAGCATAGGGCCTGAGGAGGGAATCTACGTAGCCAGACAATCCTGCTGTCAGGGTGCCAATGCCTGAGATGATGGGGCGTCCAGGATTTCCAGATTTATGGATCTTGGATAGCAGACAGAATACCCCAGGTCGGGGTTCCAGGGGTGTGTCTGTGCGTATTTGTTCTTGTGCTTTTTCAGGGAGTTTCTTGAGCAAATGTTGTAGTTTCTTTTGGTAACCCTCAGTGGGATCAGAGGGTAATGGCTCGTAGAAAGTGGTGTTGGAGAGCTGCCTAGCAGCCTCTTGTTCATATTCCGACCTATTCATGATGACGACAGCACCTCCTTTGTCAGCCTTTTTGATTATGATGTCAGAGTTGTTTCTGAGGCTGTGGATGGCACTGTGTTCTGCACGGCTGAGGTTATGGGGCAAGTGATGCTACTTTTCCACAATTTCAGCCTGTGCATGTCGGTGGAAGCACTCTATGTAGAAGTCCAGTCTGTTGTTTCGACCTTCAGGAGCAGTCCACCCAGAATCCTATACCGGAAACCTGCTGACCGCTATTCCTACCTACATGCCTCCAGCTTTCATCCAGACCACACCACACCACACGATCCATTGTCTACAACCAAGCTCTATGATACAAGCGCATTTGCTCCAACCCCTCAGACAGAGAGAAACACCTTACAAGATCTCTATCAAGCATTCTTACAACTACAATACCCACCTGCTGAAGTGAAGAAACAGATTGACAGAGCCAGAAGAGTACCCAGAAGTCACCTGCTACAGGACAGGCCCAACAAAGAAAATAACACAACGCCACTAGCCATCACCTTCAGCCCCCAACCTCTCCAATGCATCATCAAGGATCTCCAACCTATCCTGAAGGACGACCCAAAACTCTCACAGATCTTGGGAGACAGGCCAGTCCTTGCTTACAGACAGCTCCCCAACCTGAAGCAAATACTCACCAGCAACCACACGCCACACAACAGAACCACTAACCCAGGAACCTATCCTTGCAACAAAGCCCGTTGCCAACTGTGTCCACATATCTATTCAGGGGACACCATCATAGGGCCTAATCACATCAGCCACACTATCAGAGGCTCGTTCACCTGCACATCCACCAATGTGATATATGCCATCATGTGCCAGCAATGCCCCTCTGCCATGTACATTGGTCAAACTGGACAGTCTCTCCGTAAAAGAATAAATGGACACAAATCAGACGTCAAGAATTATAACATTCAAAAACCAGTCTGAGAATACTTCAATCTCTTTGGTCACTCGATTACAGACCTAAAAGTTGCAATTCTTCAACAAAAAAACTTCAAAAACAGGCTCCAACGAGAGACTGCTGAATTGGAATTAATTTGCAAACTGGATAGAATTAACTGAGGCTTGACTAGAGACTGGGAGTAGATGGGTCATTACACAAAGTAAAACTATTTCCCCTTGTTTATTCCGCCCCTCACCCCTCACTGTTCCTCAGACGTTCTTGTCAACTGCTGGAAATGGCCCACCTTGATTATCACTAGAAAAGGTTCCCCTTTCCCCCCCTCCCCTCCGTTCTCCTGCTGGTAATAGCTCACCTTAAGTGATCACTCTTGTTACAGTGTGTATGATAACACCCATTGTTTCATGTTCTCTATGTATATAAATCTCCCACCTGTATTTTCCACTGAATGCATCCGATGAAGTGAGCTGTAGCTCACGAAAGCTTATGCTCAAATAAATTTGTGAGTCTCTAAGGTGCCACAAGTACTCCTTTTCTTTTTGCGAATACAGACTAACACGGCTGCTACTCTGAAACCTTCCCAAGATGATTCATGGACCAGCTGGTAGGGCTCAAATTCCCAGAATTCAATGCTCACCTGCACAGGATTTCATAAATTTCTAGGAGGTTAGATGCTCGTGGAAACTGAAATTCCTGTAAGAAAACAAGGCAAGATATTTCTGATGTGCTGTGATGTTTTGGAAGAAAGGAACCACAGGATCAGAAAACAAAGCGAAACAGTCAGACCATATAAAAAGTGCTGTGCAAGCTTCCTATCCGCACTGTTTTTCCAGTAGTGCCCTTCAATGGGCAACTAACAACAGCAGGATTCAAGTCCTGGGATCCCATAGAGCCAGAGTCTCAACGTCCTGGCCCGCAGGCCATCTGCGGCCCAAGAACCTCCCCACTGCAGCCCGTGGAGGAGAGATGCAGGCAGACACGCTGCCGGCAGTATCTGCTGTAGACGCCGCCCACCGCAGCTCCCATTGGCTGGGAGAGAGGGACAGAGACACCATCATTAGTTGCCCGGCAGAGTCCGCCATGAAGGCAGCATCACTTTTTTCCCCCCACAATGCATATAAACAAGTCAAAGTACCGAACACAACTATTTGATGCATGCCTTGCTGCAATCCTGAAGGTTTCAACTGCTCAGTCCCTGAGGCCAAACATCATCAAACTGACAGAACTGAAGCGTTGCCTGGTGTCTGGCAAACACTAAAAACTCTCTGGCAGGTGAAGAATTGTATAATGTTGTATGACAGTTTTATTATTTCTAAGAAATTCTAAATAAAAAAATACAATATAAACATTTTCTTTTCTGAACACCATCTTCAGTGACATTATTGGCCCGCTGGGAGGATTTGAGGACTGGCACTGGCCCTAAGGTAAATTGAGTTTGAGACCCCTGCCATAGAGTTTCTTCAGAAGAAGCAAACTCACTGCAGTACTCTTCACAATGTTAATTTAAAGATTAAGTTATGATGCTGTGATAGTCAAAATCTGGAATATCAGTCCCTGGATGCCATCTTGCTTCCCTGATGGAAGGACTGGAAATTATCCTATCTGTTCAGTACTACCTTTAAATCCTCTTTCCCCTGGAGCTGTACTACCTCTTCTGCCGAGAAGGTGTTCTAAGCTCCAAGTGACAGCTGAGTTATGAAGTGTTACAACAGCAATTCCTAAAATCAATATTAGTAGATACTGCACTCTCAACTCCTCCACCCTCAAACTCAGGAACCATATTCTGGCAATGGAACACAAGTCGTCTGGAAGTCAGTCAACTTCAGAAGGGTCACTCAGTGACAGGGCATATTCTATCCAGTGCCCCCAGCTTTTTGTCCAATACTCAACTCCTGCAGAGTGACAACCAGGATCAGCATTCAAACCCCAAGTCCAAGCACTTGTACAACACACTACTGGTTTGGGTACCACCACTTTAGTGCAACATTTAAAACTGGTCCCTGCTCTATAACCAGAGAGTGATCAGGACCTTCTTTCCATCTAAGTGTGAGGCAAGTTTTATTTCCCAAAACAAAATTCCATATCTTACCTTCCAGATGGATTTTGTTACATTCTTGGTGTCTATGAGGACAGGAAACAGGCTGTGAATATTCCTTTTAAACTCCTCATAGCTTTCTGAAAGAAAAATAATAAAGAAGCAAACATTCAGAAAAAAATATTACAGAACTGAGAAAAAAGAAACTCAGCACTCTATGCAGTAAACAAAGTTTAAGTATCTTTCTGGTCTTTTGCCCCATGGGAGAACCACACTGGGAGCATTCCAGAGGGACCAGGTCCTGCCCTAGAGGTGGGAGAGCCAGTGCAGTTATCTAGCATCAACCCAGTCACACTATGCGGAGTAAATGATGATCACTGAACATTCATGCTGCATTTGTGCCCAGCGATTGAAAAAGCTGCTTTGGGGAGAGATGCACCAGCATTTGAATGATGCTAAAGATTACGCTACCTGGGAGGGGCTTGTAAAACTTGTCATGAAGATGCAGAAGGTCCATGAGCATGTTGTGTCCCACCACTGGCTACGGGGAAAGACATAAAACAATATCAACATGTTCCTACAGAAGGTAGGTCAAGTAACCAACTTCAGACCTGTTCAATAGCCCAACTTCTTTACTACAGGGGTAACACCCATACAAGCCTCTTCACAAGCTACAAGGCCTAGAACAGCATCACAGTGAGGCCAATGCCATTCCCAGCTGGGTTTGCCCTCTAGTGTAAACCTTAGGGTGAGGGGGACATTTATTGGTAACATTTTGTTTAAAAGAGGTCTGAGGCACTAGGAAGGGGAGACAATAGCCTTTAAAAATCTTTCTGGGCCAGCTGGCCCAGAAAGATTATTTTGGATGTCAGATCTACAAACTTATTCTGGGATCTGAGCATCCAGGTGGGGTCTTTCTGCCCTATACATCACCAGGGATAAAGTTTCTGAAATTGGATCTTATTCAACAATGCTGCTCGGAACACAGGAATTCCAATACTTGATCAGGCCATTGGTCCACGTGGTACAGTGTGCTGGCTCTGACAGTGGCCAGCACCAGATATTTGAGAAAAATCTGCAAATGCACAATTATGTCAAAGTGGAATAACCTACCTGCAGGAATGTATCTGACTAACTCTCAGATGGTGGCTTATGCCTTGAAATGTGACAGGTTTTATTACTTCTGAACTTTTGGATTTTTGACAGTTTGGATTTTTTACAAATTGTTTGAAATGTATGAGTCAGAACAGAGCCTAGATTGCTCTCCCGCAGGCGTGCTTGCTCTGCAGGGTATCAGGAATGCAACGCAGTAAAGTATGATTTTTAGATCAATAAAGTAAGAATGTTTTAACAGAATACACTTAAAGCACACCTGCTTACTTAACAGATCTGCTATGTTTAATAGCCATTTTTCTAGACAAAATTACCCTTTAAACACTAAGTTGTTTTACTGACAGCTATGAAGGGGTTAACGAAGCCAGCCTGTGCAGCCACTCACTGCTTTGAATCTGTTTACTTAGCTCCATACAAAACATCTTGCATACTCCATCACCACCCTGCTACCATGGTAACAATCCAAGAATTCCAAAGGTGGGAATAGGGATGGTGAGTGTCACCTTCTTGGCTTCAACAAGGGTCTGGAAAAGGTTGGTGAAACCCCGGGCAGAGAGAAGAATGAGCTCCTTTCGGCAGCAGTCGTAAGAAGAGTTCTCCAGACACCAGCGATGCCGTGGACTCACCTTTTTCACCATCACCTGCAAGAAAAGAGTTACTACAACTCTGGAGAAATAACCTTGCACAAATGCACACACACAATCAATATAAGCAGCTTGTCTGGTAGCCTGGTGTTAACGCTGAAAACAGGTTCAATTTTCAGACTCCCAAGGCTGTGGAGATAGCACTTCAATACAGAAGGTGAAGATGGTCTCTCTTCTGTCACTGAATGGCGATCAGCACCCAGTTGATAAATTAAAATAACTCTGAAGGGAGTTACTTCCAGGCCTCCTTGGCTAGAAAGATGGTGGCCATAAAACAGGTTGCGTTTTTCAGGATGCGAGTGGGTGGCTATGGAATTTAAGTGCTCTTAGCGCTAGTAATATGTATTCGATTGACAACGCTGAAACAAGACGCCCTCTATCCATAAAACACGTATTGCAGGGACAGCACCAATTCAGGTTTCGCCACACCAAAGTGCATCAACGCTGACTCTGAGGGCCCACACTTAGATGTGAAATGGAAGCTCAGGAAATTTGTCCCATCTATAGCCTCTGTTTGAGAATAAGGGTGCTAGCTGCAATATTGATTTTTGTGGTATTTTTAAGCTTCTCCCTGGCATTTGACTGAGACCACTTGTTTCCTGAATATGCCATCCAATAGCCCTCATTTTTATTCAGTAAAGAGCGTGCCAGATTCAAGCTGATGACCTAGATGCGAGAGGCTGTGTAACATTACTGTTATAACAAACCAGCAACAGAATGGGTGAAAGTCTCCAAAGCTAATACAAGGGACAGTTTAACAATGAAAAAGCAACTACTGAAGACCAAATGTTCGCTTTTGTGGATACATGAGGCACTGGGTTTGAGAAGCCTGGAAATTCTGAGAGTCATTTCAGACTTTGCCGAAGAGTGACCCTTCTGGAAGAGGAGGCTTTGGGATTGTGGGAGAAACAGAGGCCAAAGCTTCCCAACCCATGGGATCCCAGAAAAGGGAACCTGGTTCAGCCCCTTAGCATGGTTCCTTTGCAAGCTCCCTCCTCCTCCAGGAACCTTTCCATTAAAGCACAACCAAGATTTCAGAATCCCAGCAGGAAGGACAGGTGCACACATACCTAAAACAGAAGTCCTACCCTCCAAAGGGCTTCATTTCCAACTTACCTTCTGATCTCCAAAAGGCTCTGTCCAAACATCTGGAATTGCCTGTCTCAGAATCAGCTGTACCTCAAATAGCTGAAAACCTGAGACCAGAAACCGAGAGAAAGGGGAGGAGTTTGCTTGGTAGAACAAGAATGTTTTTCAATGGAAGAATAAAATATCAGTGTGGAAACCAAGATAAAAATTAAATATTTAGGGCATACAACAATCCAGAAAAGAGGGCTGATGATCTGAGTCATCCCTATTTCAAATTATTTTAAAAATACCTTTGAATATATATCTTAGAACATTTCCATGCAAAGGGCACAAAATCGAGCCAGAAAACCTTACAACGAGGAAAGCTGTCAGACTTACTACTCCCAGCCCTGGAAAATCCACCTCAGTTCCAGAAACAGCCACTGATACCAACCTACCTCCAGAAAAAAAGCCCTTCCACAATGGAGCTCATCATAATGACAAAAGAGGAGAAACAGAGCAGAGAGATGAAAACACGACAGGAACCAGAAGGCCTGGCAGCAGCAATGGTGGGCTGGGTATGTTTTTTTTAAAAGTGAAAAAGAAAGAGTGTTACAAGACAGGCAGCTATGTAAGTGGGCTGAACAAGCAGCAATCCCCATATATTCAGAAAAGGTACTGCAGCCACTGAGAAATCACAAATGAGGAAGGAATCCTATTTCATACCACTAATATTATGTAGAACCATAGAGTCTCCCTCTTCTGCTGATGGCACCCAGCATGTCACATCATCAATCACCTTTTTCACGTTATCCTTGTCCAAAGTGCTGAAATGAAAAGAAAAAAAGTGAGAAAGCTGCAAAAGCAGTGCCAAGCAAGACTCCACTTTAAAGAGGTGGCCCCCTTCCCTCCTGCTGTAGTCATTCTGTGGAGCAACTGACAGCACCATCCTGTGACCTTTCACCGGACTCTATATATTCCCCAAGGGAACAGAAATGGCAATGAGACATTATCTCAGTTTCAGTAGTCCTACAAAATGTAAACTGAGTGAAAAGTGAAGGTGAAATACTAACAGAAGTCACTGGAGGAGCAATGGCTTTGGAAGAGCTTTACCTGCGAACTTTCCAGTTTCCAGCTAAGAGCCCTTGCTGAAGTTTCTTCTCCTGAACCTGATTCATATATGGGATTCCATCTTTCAGAAACTGAACGGGGGGGGGAAGAAAAGGGTTTATTTATCATAGGATTTTCTGGTGTTAAATTAGAAAAATAGTATGAAGTATTTATTTGTGAAATCTGTCATTTCTAATACGATGGCCTTCCCCCATTCCTTTCTCAAAATGCTTCCAAAATTTTTTTAAAAAGTCCAAAGTTCACCAGTAATCCAACTTGTATGCATATGCAAAGGAAGGGAAAGGTTTTATTTTAGGATTCCAAAGGGTTCACAGGTACAGAGAGGGAAATACTGAATTATGAAAGACTGTGCATGAAAGATAAAATTGAAGTCCTGACCATTTGTGATTATTTAAGAGCCGACAGAAAAAGTACTCAGTGTCAGGATTCTAATCTAGGTTTTCAGGACAAATTCCAGCTCTTTAATTACATTCAATTTAATTAAATTCTCCAGCCATTTCAACTGGGTACTATTTTCTTCACTCCCTGCCACGAACTGTTGGATAGCGCTGCTGTATACTTATGGCACTACCTTCCACCTTGGAGATGGTGGAACATCATAGACAGGTAAAGTTATATTTAGCTAAGAGTTCAAGTTTCTTTGAGATTATCAGATGATAATAAATTCAGTACCCATTTTCTTATCTGCGTACCCAAGCTTCCCACTCCTACACAGGGTCTTACGTCTTCTGTGCAACTGAGTATGCTGGACCACATCTAATAGCCAATGAAATGACACTTAAGACACAAAAACTCTACTTCAGTGTATGAGGCCTGGAGATATTCACCCATCATGCAGACCCCACCTGGATAGCGTGGTTTGCAGACTCGGTGAGAAATGGGAGAGTAGCATAGGCGTCGACTTCTGCTGGCACCGGTGGGTGCTCGACCCCCCTCTGCCCCTTCCTGCCCTGCTCCGCCCCCTCCTGCCCTGCCCCCATTCCAACCCCTTCCCCATAGTCCACGCTCCAACTTCGCCCCCTCCCTGCCCCTATTCCAATCCATTCCCCAAATCCCCGCCCTGCCCCACCTCTTCCCCTGAGCGTGCCACGTTCCCATTCCTCCCCCTCCCTCCTGGAGCTTGTTATGCAGCGAAACAGCTATTTTGCAGCGGCAAGCACTGGGAGGTAGCCGGAGAAACAGGGACATGGTGCACTCAGGGGAGAAGGCGGAGGTGAGGTGGGGCGGGGAGTAGGGAGTTGAGCTTGGCTGCCGGTGAGTGCAGAGCACCCACTAATTTTTCCCCATGGGTGCTCCAGCCCTGGAGCATCCATGGAGTCGGTGCCTATGGAGACTAGGGAGGAAGGGACGCATTTGACCTGCCATGTGCTTTATTTATTCAAAGGCTGGCTGTGCCGGGATACCAGTAAAGACAGGCATTTACCTCTCTGCTGATGAGGAGATGGGAAGTACATGGAGATGCCCTGTGGCCAGTGGCAGCTAAGGTTGGTGTCACAGGGCAGTAAGGAGGTGCCCAGTGACCAACTGCAACAATGTGAAGCAGCAGTACAGGGTCCACAGGGTTAGTTAGGGGTTCAATTTAGTAACCATTGGCAAAGATGTGGTTATTGCCCCCTGGTCATGGAACAGCTCAGTGTCCAAAGCCCTGTATTGCTACTGACACACAACAGAACAAACCCAACCCAAGTGTTCAAAGCAGCCATTGTACTGAAAAAGTAGCGAGCTGCTGCTTACACAAGAAATGCAGAGTTTTGGGGATATTTTTCCTTAATACTTCCCCACAACTACATAAGCCTCCTCTGCTCTAGTCACTTACAACAGAGAACATACCTTATTATAGTCAAAACCGTAATGTGTCAGGAACTGAATGCTAGACGCCTGGAAAGAGAATTCAGAGTCCATGACTCCAAATGTTGTGGGGAAGAGGAAGAAGTTATAGCAGCGTGCAACATACCTACAACGAAAAATAAAGATGCCTAAAACAGGATCACAAGGAACCATTGCAGAGGAGCCTGAGAACCTCCAGCATGGAATCTCAACTGCATTATCTCTATTGTAAGAGACAGCTATGAACTTATTTAGAAAGAATACTTTTTTTTTACTTACTTGTTTGATTTTTCATTTGAAAATATAGACAACCCTGAAAGAAACAAACACAAACTGAAGTCTTAGTACTGAGAGCTGGGTGTTACTCCTCGGTCTCCTGAATACTGATGTTGTGAAAATTAAATAGCGGATGCAGGAGTTCTCCTTGCTATGCCATTTTAGTCATACACTAAAGCTGCTGCACTAGAATTTTACTAACCTCCAGATCACTGCCAGGTTACAAAGGGGTGGCATGAACATGGGTCCCCAGATAGTTAAACAGAAATAAGATTTTAGGGCTCAATGGGAAGACAAGTTAATCTTCAGTAAGAAGCAGCCCTTACTGAAAAGGGACTAAGCAAAGGAAGAGAAGAGGAAAATTATTGAGCTACAATCATGCTGTAGCTTTACAGGCCTTTCTACTCTACATGTAGTGTTGTAACGAAGTCCCCCAACACTAACTGATCTCCTCAGACCACAATAAATACTCTGATAATCTAAGACTTTAAAGGTGACCTGCAAACCATTTTTAAAGATGGAGTTTGGAACTTTAATTAATTTCATTATGAAACATACTCCCCTTCCAACACCCTAAAAATGAAGCATCCTAACTCTATTGTTTTTAAACATTAGAAATATAAATTCTTGTTTTCCCTTGGTATTGACGAAGATGCCTTAGAGGAGGCATACTAACAGCTCACAGTGTGACTAGAAAAGGTGGCTGAATCTATAGTAAAGACATTTTTAATTCAAAATATTAGTCATTGAAGTTAAATAGGTGTTAACCAAAAAAAAATTACACCATCTAACTAAATATCTTAGTACTTCTAATTTTCTCAGCGTTCAGTCTCTTGTAGTGTCAGAATTTCACTAGTTTTTGAGTCAGAGTGTCTTTAGGCACAGGCAATCTAGACAAGTCCTGAATTTCTAATGTAAAAAGTAAGCAGAAAAACATTAAAAAGAGAGCAAGAAAACAAACCTTAAGATTTCTGTGTGTCATAAAAGAAATAAGGCACAAGTACATTTTCCCCATTGCAGGTCACCTTTAAATTGCTTCAGGTACAGACATACCTGGGTCAAAGCATACGGATGTTTAAATGGATGAGGACAAAAATGAAGCTCCTTCCAGAACACCACTCTACCTTTTCAGCCAGAAGGAGCTTCAGCAGGGAAGGTTCAAATATCTCTTTAGCATCCCTACATTGGTTCAAAACACTCTGCAGCCCAGGAAACAGATGCAGAGATCATAATCTAGCTGGCCTTTATTTAGAGACATTGTCAAAAAGTTGATACGTCCTCGTTTCTGTCTCCCCCAAATCAAACTGTGCTTAAAGCCAGTACCTCAGTCCTCAAGAGAAGCCCCTACAATAGTAACCTAAAATGCCAGAGGACAAAATGAAGTTTTATAAAGCAGCATATTTCATTGTCTAACCTTAGAAAATATTATTTTCTCTAGCACCTTCCATTTGAGAATCTGAGTTATTTATTAACATTAACCTCACAAAACCCCAGTGAGCTAGGATTACTCCCATTTTACACGGGAGACTATTAAGGCACAGAAAGGTTATATTTCTTGCTTACAGTCACATTGCAAGTCAATGACAGAGTCTGGAACAGAACCTAGAATGACTGACTTCCATTACATTTTTCTTTAAAGATGACAGATACCTTACGTGTTTTTTAAAATAAATTTGCAGCAATATAAAGTAGACTGAAAATTCTTGCATAGCCAACCTGACTTTAAACTACTTAAGATGTATGTATGTTGATCATAGGTGCCGACTCCGCGGGGTGCTCTGGGGCTGGAGCACCTACAGGGAAAAATTAATGGGTGCTCTGCACCCACCGGCAGCCAAGCTCCCCTCTTCCCTCCCCCCCTGAGTGCGCCACGTCCCCGCTCCTCCGCCTACCTTTGAGTGTTTCCCACCCGGCCACCACCAATAAGCTGTTTGGCAGTGTTAGCATGCTTTCGGATGGGGGGGGTGGCGGGGGAGGAGTGGGAACGTGGCGCACTCAGGGGAGGAGGCAAGGAAGAGGCAGGAATGGGGCGGGGACTTTGGGGAAGGAGTTGGAATGGGAGTGGGAAAGAGGTGGGGCCTAATGGAAGAGGTGGAGTGGGGGCAGGGCCAAGGGCAGACTTGCAGGGGGTTGAGCCCACGGGAAAGAGGGGAAGTCGGCACCTATGATGCTGATAACATTATTCCTTAATAAAAAGGGATCTAGCATGGCGGACAACCAGTGCAAACACAGCAGACAAGCAAAAACAGAATTGCAAACCTTTATCCCTCTCAGAAAGTCCCACAATCCTCTAGTAGACTAGATGCTATGTGTTAGCCAAATTCAACTAGTTTGTGAAATGCTAGTAAATACTTTGCAAGAAGTGGGATTTTATCTTTTCTGACAACAATGAAAAAAGATCTCACCGAGCTGATTGACCGTGAACTTCTGAACACTCCGTCTGGCCTTCAGATACCACTCAGCAGGTGAATCGAAGAGACTATTAAACAATCAGAGGTGGGGGGGGGGAGAAATACTCCCATGATGTACTGTTTTACTTTTTCATCGCAACTTCTACCATTATTTTAACTCACTAGATCATATGACATTTTGAATGTGACATCTTTACCTGGGCTGCTTGCCTTGTGGAAAGACTGAATGTAAACCTGTGAATTCCATATCGAACCCTGTAGAGACAGAACACACAAAAAAAAGATTCCAAAATGTGAATCTGCCTTTCTGTAGCCTTTTGTACTAACGACAAATGGACAAAGGAGTGATCTAAGCTCCCAACATGGTACTAAGAAAATTAAATCCCCCCTAACTTTTCCCTTTAACCCATTAATTATTCAGCCAGTCAGCAGTTGGGTAGGGCATTACTCCTTCAAAACAAAAAGTGTGCTTCACAATTTGGACATTCATTTGAGGTTTACTCATCCCTGAATGTAGCATTAAAACACATAGTTGCATTAGACAGCATAGCATGTTAGGGCCAAAAGGAAAAAAAAGTACAGTATGTTTAATCAGCACCATGTGGCCAACACAAGCTCACCAAGACCAGCAATGCAAACACGAGCTGGGCTTATTCTCCACGTGGGGTTCACTACCTTTCTCAGCCAAAATTGAAGCTTTATTTCTGGGAGCAGTCTAAAATACCAGTACATACATATTGTACATTTTTCTGTCTTTTCAATATTAATAGAACAATCTTATTTCTACATAAATTAGAAGTACACACTCCTAATATGAAACTACTTTCACATACTAGTGAGATATAGTTTAGTTAGATGATTTTCTATACTATTCCTCACTAGTGACAATCACTGACAGGAAAGACTGCAATCACATTGTCTATCTGAGGCGGCACAGCAGAGGCAAAGACCAGGGACAGGAAATGGACAATTAATAGTAATGCATTCTAGTGTTCATAGCTACAATTGAGGTGAAAATGTTATGTGGATGGATAAGGTGCTCTCCTAGGCTAAGCCTACACCAGGAGCGCTTTGTTGATATAGCTATAGAAGTACACTATACTGGCAATACACCCCTAATGTAACATAGCTTATACTGGCAGAATGATGAGCTTATACCAGCCCCCGCCAGCAACGTAAATATCTAACACAAACGCAGTTTTGCTGGTATAACTGCGTCTACACTAGAGGCTTCTGCTAGCTCAGATACGTCAGCCAGAAACCGGAACTCATCACCCCTCTCTCTGACCAACATACCTCTGCCTGCAAAATTTTGTAGTGTAGACCTGGCCCTCGGCTCTCCATTCACCCCAGGCATCAGCACAGAGTACAAGTTGTTTGGATGCCTCAGCTGTAGCTGTACCATACTTTCCAATAATCTGAAGCTTAAGATTAACTCTGAACTTTAAAAAAAAGATAACTACAACATCCTTGTAAGGGTGTATATTTTTACTTTTAAGTTATATATGTATTCTTCTCCCAACCTTACCTCCTGTTTAACAGTTACTGAATGGAAAGTAACTTGTGCTTCATTTATAGATCAGGGAAAAGGGGAACATTTCGAGGACAATGGTGGAGAGAGTGGGAGAAAACAAAACGACATTTTTTCCTACTGTTTCAATGAAGTCACACAAATGAGGGTCATTCTTGTCAGTTGCCAGCTTGTGGAGATCAAGGAGTGACTGGTTCACATTCTTTTCCAGGTGCACACTAACTGTGATACGATTATATACACACTAGTGATTATTAAAATCTTAAATAGAAAACTGGAAGAAACACCTAGGGTGGCTAGTCTACACTATAAAGTATAGCTATACTGGCAAATCCTTGCAGCAGAGATGCAGTTTATGCAAGCAAAAGAACTCCTTGTACTGTTAAAGGCATTAAATCACCTCGCCAAATGACGTCATGCCACAATAGTTATTTCACTGTGTGCGATTTTTTTCACATTCCTGACATAGCTATGGCAGCAAAGCTTGAGACACTCTGCTCTACCAGTTCTCTGAACAAAATAAGCTATGCCAGCAAAAGAACTCAGATACATAGCTACACTGGTAAATCTTTTATACTGCAGACAAGGCTTAAGACTGAACTCCTTTTCCAATCCTTTGTTGTAATCATTCATGATGAAGAGGCAAAGTGAGATAGCAGAGATCACTGGAATTGGGATGGAAGGGGAAAAGAATTCTCAAGTCTTATAAAAATGTTTCTTATTTGTTACCATGGTGCAATCCTTTCCCTACATGATTATAACTGGCTCTACCTATCTTTCAATACAAAATGTGCACACACACACACACACAAAAAAAAAGATTAGATGAATAAAGGGGCAGTAGAGGCAGTTTTGCTTTAGTACTTTTCAGCTTCCTCTTTGACAGCGCTTCTGTACCTTTCTAGAGGTGTCTCAGAGGTTTTTCTATAGGCTTTCAGAAGGGAACCACACATCCTCATCAGCACCCAATTTTTTTTCCTTGATACCTACTGCACAAAGAGACCCAACTTTGTGCCTATGCCTCTTTCTGCAGTATGCAATGGAAACGGAAAAAATCCAGTTTCCCTTGTCACATTTGGCAGTAGAAGCATAGGTGCTGGAACCAGGGGTGCTGCTGCATCCCCTGGCCTGAAGTGGTTTCCATCAATGGTCCAGTGGCTCTCAGCACCCACTATACAAATTGTTCCAACACACAACACCCCTGAATGGAAGAGGGCTCGGGAAAAAATCGAGTGGGGGGCGGGTCAGAGACAGTATTTATCAACTGCGGGCCAAGCACCAGGAAAGGCCAATCCATTAGTCAGGACCCGATCTGGCAGCGGAGCTCAGCAGGGGCGCATCCCGCACGGTTTGGCGCCATGGGCCAGAGGCAAGTCACCAGGGGAGGGGATGCCTCTGGCGCTCCAGTCACGGCCCTGGCTCTCGGCTCGGACCGGGCTGCCCGAGTCACGCCGCCAGGAGCGCTCGCTCCCGCGGCCCAGTGTGAACAGCCACTTTCGCTCCGGGCAGCGAGCCCGGCGGCAGCTAGCAGGTGTGAGAGGTCCCACGTCTCCCCCGCCCGCAGGGGGAGCAGGCAGCGGGCGGCTCCCGGGCCGCGGTAAACGGCCGGCCGGGGGGGGAGGGTCCGGCCCGCCGCCCTGCTCCAGGCGGGGCCCCTCACCCAGGAAGTCGCAGCCCAAGACCAGCGCCCGCAGGTGGGGCAGGCTCTGCGCGAACTGCCCGGTCCCCAGCTCCATCCCCGCCGCTCCCGCGCGAGGACGGAGCAGACAAACCGGCGCTCGGGGGGAGTTCCCGGGCCGCAACTGGCGCCTCACGGGCACGCCCGCTTGATTGACAAGAACAGCAGCGAATCAGCGCTCGGTTAGGAACGTCAGCACCATCCTCTCCCTTCTTTCCCTCCATAATGACAGGTTTCAGAGTAGCAGCCCTGTATTCGCAAAAGGAACAGGAGGACTTGTGGCACCCTAGAGACTAACCAATTTATTTGACCATAAGATTTCGTGAGCATCCGATGAAGTGAGCTGTAGCTCACGAAAGCTTATGCTCAAATAAATTGGTTAGTCTCTAAGGTGCCACAAGAACTCGTGTTCTTATAACAGGAGAGGTACTGATTTGCTCCTAAAGCTAGAGGGACTGGGAGCTGGAATTTAACCAGGAACCTAAGTAACCGTGTTATAAGCTGCATGGTTGTGCAACGCTCTCTTCTGTTCCAGCATTTAAACTGTTTGATGCTGTGGCTCATTTGGCATATAATAATAATCGATGAGCGAAGAGGAGTTCCCCGACAACAGCCAGGATTCGAAAAAGTCAGGATTACAACAGCAACGTCTCCCACTAGAGGGCACCAAATTATTTTACAGCTGCTGGTACATTATACGGCTGCTGCAGAGATTCTGTCTGCCCCCTTTTGAAGGATTTTCTTTAAGACAGAAACATACAAAATTAACTTTCTGTGGAAAACAGGCCACCAGTTTTAACCAGTGCCATAGCAGCTGCTGGAAGACAGTAGGACAGGACACACATAAAGCTTCTACCTTTGGGAACTAACCCCATTGATACAAATTTGAAAAGAATAAATTATGCACTATGCAGGAAATTGAAGATAAATTTGTCCTAATGTTGTAAATGCAAACAACATCCACAGCTTTCTCTCTTCTACAACCAGTTTTAAAGAAGCCTTGCAATTGGTCACTTTCACTGACCTCATTTAATTTTTCCAGAGGACTGGAAGAAAGTTAAGGTTATGCTAATATTTTAAAAAGGTAAATGGGACAACCCAGGTAGCTATAGGCCCGTGAGTCTGCCATCGATCCCAGGCAAAATCATGGAAAGACTAATATAGAAAATAATCAGTAAAGAATTAAAGGTTGATAGCATAGGTCACCATATACTATGAATGCTTCTAAGATTGTTTTTTAAAGGTAACTGCTATATTTCCATTTCTGTAAGGGGTTTAATTTAATAGTGAACAATTTTAAAAAGTCAGTATTCCATGGATTTTAAAACTGCCACTTGATAAATTTCTAAAGGTGAGGAATGATCGCCCAAAGGGGGCTACATTATAGTGGCATCTGACCAGGACCTTTTCTTGGGCCAGTACTATTCTATTATCTATTAATGATTTGAAAAATATAAAATTAGTGCTACTAAAGTTTGCAGCTCACCTGTTTTCTGCATCAAGTAGTAAATGGTCAGTTACACAGAGCTACTTGGGTCACTTGGTAAACTGGGCTCATTTGAACATGTGTTTTAATGAAGCCAAATGCAAGGTCATATCTTGGAAAAAGAAAAATGCAGGTCATACCTGCAGCATGGTGGACTGTGATCCAGTGACTGTAGAAAAGATTCAGGGATCATGACAGATAACCAAGTGAACATGAGCTCCCAGTAGGATGCTGTGGCTAACAGGACTAATGTGATTCTTGGATGCATAAGCAAGGTACTATAAAATAGGGAAATGGTATTACTTCTGTATATAGCACTGGGGAAATCATTACATGTTTTCTACTTCTAGTGTCCACACATCAAAAAGCATGTTGAATTGGAACTGATTTGGGGAAGTGCAATATATTTTGCTTATATGTCAAGTCAGTTCTCATAGGTACCTGCATGGGGAGAAGATTCCAAATAGTAGTGGTCTATGTCAGCTAGATTAAAGGCATCCAACAGCTGGAAATTACATAACTTCAGATTAGAAATAAAGTGCAACTTTTTTTTTTTAAATTTTATTTATACAAAGTGATTGTAATTAACCACTGAAAAATATACCAACAGATGTGGTAAATTCTCCATTAGTTGAAGTTTATATCAAGACTAGATGTCTACAAATCTAGACTTGATCTAGCTCAACCGCAAGATATGGGCTTGAAGGAGTAGTTACTGGGTGAAATTGTGGCCTGATTAGATCATCATAATGATTTTTTTCTGGCCATAAAATCTTTGAACAAATTAGAGTTGAAGTCAACAAAAAGAAAAAATCAGCATCACTTATTTAGTATAATAAATTGCTATGTTCCACACTGTCCCAGCTCTGGGCCTGAATTGCTTCTTTGCCCACTCCTGTATGAGAGCAGTTGTTTGACAGTCCGTTATAAGAAATTTCGCCCACAGTCTTCATCTTACTGATAGATTCTTCGAGGCTCACCCACGACAACACCACCATCTGTCACAGCTTTTTGGAATTGCTGGATCTGGTTTTAAAGGGAAACAGCTGTAAAATATGAAGGTTTAAAGTAGTTTTCATTCCCCCCATCATCCCACCTCCAATTAAATCTGCTATACTGGAATAATAGGGGTCCTATAAATTAGTTTTAAGATGCAAAGCCATGGAGGCCCCCTGAACTGCAATAGCAGAAGGTGTTGCTTGTCAGAGATAAGGTGCTCTGGTAGGATGTCCACATGGCTCTGAGCTGAAAGAAGAGGGGATTGTGTAGTCTTTCTTGGTTAAGGTACATTCTTTGAGCCACCCAAAGATCACTTTAGCATTCAAGAGCAGTAAAATTTGTGTAAAGAAATCCAGTGCAAGGAGATGGACGCTTACCGAGTCACAGTGATATTCCCATGGGATAACAGCTTTAAAGGTCACAAAGTTGATTCCTGCTTCCAGACAGCGTTGTGCCACCACACGCCCAATATTTTCACATGCCGCCACTCCCTTGGGACTGTACAGATGTCTCTTTATGGCCCACTCACGGGTGGAGGCTGACACAACGACATTCCCACTGCAATGCTCAACATAGGCCTCCACATAGTGCTGTGTCCGCTCAAGCCGTAGTCTGGATGAGGGAAAAATAAATATCATGGAACATGAAAGCTAAATAGTGAAATGATTCATTATTCTGTGATTGTTATTTTAGATTGTGTCACACTGAAAGAAAGACAGCTTCAGTATTATGCAGCAAGGGAGATGCATGTTAGATAGGAGAAAAAGCTTTTACACTATAAGGATAGCTAAACTCTAGAATAGGCTTCCAAAGGAGGTTGTGGAATTCCCATCATTGGCAGTTTTTAAGAACAGTTTAGACAAACACCTGTCGGGGATAATTCAGGTTTACTTGGTGCTGCCTCTGCACAGGGGACTGGACTTGATAACCTCTTGAGGCCAGCCCTACATTTCTACGATTATTTGTTTACAACTCTGAAAGCAAAACTTTTAGGAAAAAAGTAAAAGTTGATAAGTTACAATATATGTGACTATGGAATCATTTCTAAATTTTAAAAACAAGGAAAATAGTTAAGGACATCATAAATTTTATGTTGCTCACTTATAAAGTAGAAAGAAAAGCACTGCAATAACCTTAATGCTGACTCATGGATTTTTAAAAGTAATTGTTATCTAAATATTTTCATTTAAGTGACACTATTAGAGGAGGTATCGGGTGCCAGGATTCTGAACGTTTTGTTTTTTTTTGGATATACCAGAGTACAGAAGCAAAAGACACTGAAGAGGTAACTAGAACCCTGAGTAAAACTTCTGAAACATGTTTTAAGGCTGCAAAAGTTATTGCTTGTTCAAAAGTTTGCAAGTTCTCTTTTTGTTTTCACTGTTATTTTCATTAATAGTTAATTTGTAAGTATTTTTTGTCCACTGACTTTTATAAGTGGAACCTTAAAGCAATAATTCCCACACAACAATATGTTTATTTATATTCAACTGAAGATTTCAGGCTATTCAGAAAACAAGATATTTCCCTGGAATTAAAAGCTCATTTACAACTCTTTTATTTAATTTGGAATCAACAGCAGAAAATTTTAACTTGCTATTATTTCTGTTTATTGGTACACTAAAACACTGTGGCCTGTAGTCTCAAGAGTGATTAGTGATTTTGGTTGCCCAACTTGAACATCTTTAAGGGCCCCGATTTTCAGATGGCAGATGCTCAGCACACTTTAAGGTGTATCTTGTTTTCTGAATGGAGTGAAATCTTCAGTTGAATCTAAACAAAAATATTGTAGTGAGGGAGTTACAACTTAAAGGTTACATTCTAGACGTATTTTGTTAAGCTTGCACTATTGTTAACAGATTTCTGACTCACCTATGCCAATACTCTCTCTTGGGCCATGTTGTTTCCCAGCCCCGTTCCTTTCTTGCTAGTGCCAGCAGCTCCAAGTTACGAGGATTTCGGTTGGTGAAATCTGGGGCAACAACTTCATTTTCCTTCGTGTCTACTTCACCCTCAGTGGTTCTGAAGCTGGCTACAGCAGATATGAAACGAAGCCCTTGGGGGAAATCAGGAAAAGAATGAACGAACTAGAATATACACAGAATACATGGATTGAGTCTACAAAGCCTGAAATGTAGAACTAGTGATCTGAAGATTTTGGGTAAAAATCTTAGTGGAATTGAACAGTTTTCCACCAAATGTGTGCGGAGTTGTAAGTTGAATGCAGAAGGCATACCACATTTCCACTTATGGTCTGCAAAGGTGAGTTGACAATTTTTCTGTGCCTATGCTTGTAACCCAAATGCATAAATGACAGAAAGATTCTCTCAGGATTACAAAGTTATTCTTAATGAAAATAAGTAATTGCACAGGAAACTGCCTAACTGAATAAAGACATCCTATACATCTCTGCCAACATAGCTGAAGCCTGATTTGCAATACTGACTTATAGCTGGACAGCTGTATGTGCAGACTGCAAATGCTCAATTCTGGATAATTTCATGATGCAGAAAAACTTCTAATAGAAACTGATCACTGTTTATAATGAATAGTGCCTTCCATTTTGAAGGGTCCAGTAAGGTTTATGTCCACAGATCACTCCATTATCCATTCATATTC